TGCAAATGGTAAAAAATAGATCCACTTCAAAAGAAATGACTTCATTCCCGGTTTAATCCAGATCTAGTTATGAAAAACAACTTCAGATGATCGTTTCTGCAGATTCCAGTTCATCCAACACTAAATCTACCCACATCTGGTGCACTTCAATTATGTGTATGCCTTCTGGTAACACTTTACAATAAGGGCCCTTTATTATTATTTATTAGGCATTAATAAACTATTAAATAAAGCATTAACTCATTAACCATATTTTGTAACGCATTACTAAGCAGACACACCCGACCCTTTGTACTAATCTTAAGGACACTTAGTAGTTTACATTGGGAATAAAGAGATTCTATGTTTCTTAATGCTTAATAATGCACTAAGTAACGTTAATAAAGGGCCCCTTATTGTATTGTTACCTGTTTTTATTGAGCCAGTTAGGAAAAGTTTTCTCTATGAAGAGATAAACTGGCCCGATTCTAATTGTGATTCATTCATGTTTGGTCCAACTTTAATCGACTTCATCACGAGGTCACGACCTCCCTGGTGTCTACGCCTACACTCAGTCGGGACGAGCTGAGACATCATTTAGACACCAACTACATAATGAACCTAAACACCTCAGCTGATCACATCAATAATATAGTGTTGTCTGGGAGATGGGCACACTCACGCTCCAATTGGCTGCTTTGTGTTGGTGTCACAGCGGTTTCCATCCTCCCTCAGTAGCATCTTGTAAAAACTCTCCCCCGCCTCCCCCTTTTAGCTCCTCCCGCGCTGCTCTGCTCTCAGGACACTTTGTTCCCGACGCCTGAACATGAAGACGTTCTGCAGCCTACTGGAGTTAAGTAATGCCCCGCACCCTTCACTAACACACACACACACACACACACACACACACACACACACACACACACACACACACACACACACACACACACACACAAACACACACACACACACACACCTAATCCATCAGGCTAATCAGTGATGGAGCACCTCATGTCAGACCCGACCGGAGAACTCCAGAGGACTTCTATGAACATTCTCCTGATGAACGTGCTCCTGGATACTGGACGAAAAAAATCACTGACCCAGAACTCCTAGACCAGTTCCTCTGACCCAGAACTCCTAGACCAGTTCCTCTGACCCAGAACTCCTAGACCAGTTCCTCTGACCCAGAACTCCTAGACCAGTTCCTCTGACCCAGAACTCCTAGACCAGCTCTCATCTCTTCAGCCCCGTTCTTCTGCTTATAAGGCCGTCTTCCTCCATGGTTCTCATTTTTGTTGTTGTCTACATCATTTCTTTACGGTTAATTCAAACTTCCTGAAGGTCTTTGGACTTTCTGTGTTTTCATTCCATTTTCCAGGAACATTTAGACCGATCAGGAACCCAGACACTAAAGAACGGCTTTGTTTGGAGGCGGTTTAGCATCCCGTAGCGTGACGCCAGGTTCTGCACACACACGCTTGTCTACTGAGGCAGAAGTCTCTCCATCAGCAGTGAACACAGGTGAACACACCTGCAGAACAAGGAAACAACCAAAACATTTCAAAACAAATTACTCACAGCTCATCACACCACGGCTGAATCGTGGGAACCGGTCAGCCCGCTTCACGCCGAGTCGATGTTTCATAACACCAAACCCAACCTACAGCAGATGCTCTCAGATCCAAACATCAAACCTTTAATGTTCAGAACCACTAAACTAAAACTTCTAGTGTTTATTCATCCTATAAACTATATTAAAACTATATTGTGAGTTTCACAGATTAAATTCCTGAACAGAGTCGTATAAAAATAAACTGAACTGTCTCAGATTCAATGAAAATATCCACGAACTCCATTCAAACTTAACTTGATCACACACGGTTTTAACTGACCGAATGGGATTGGACCTATACATGGTAACGTCCAGCAATGGTCAGGTTTTAGGTACTGTTTGACCATCGAACATCCGGTCAAAAAGGAGACACGAGACTGCACGTGTTCCCTTTAAATCAGCCTGCCTCTGTCCCACCAGCTGGAGCTCAGAGCCTGCAGCTCTGACAGAGATAAGGAAATGTCAACAATAACATTCTCTCCTCAAGGTCCCTCACAGAGCACCTGCTTATCCAAGTCTCGTTGCTTCACAGAAGAAAGAAGATTTTATAATTAAAGATGAACTTCCACAACTAATACAGCTAAATACCGTAATTTCCGGACTATAGAGCTCCGGGAGTTCTCCCGGCATGCAACAGTTCAAATCGAAACGGCGCCATCTTGGCAGGCAGAAGCCCGCAGCTGGGCTATTTGTTATTGTCAGAAAACTCAATCAGACAGGAAATATGGTAGATTCCTGTTGTGCCCCAGGATGCAGAACAGACGCGGACGACATAAGGAATGAGCCATCTACAGGATTCCCCAAGATCCGGAGCGCCGCAAACGTTGGATCATTGTAATAAAACGCGCTAGTGACCGGGCTAAAATGAAGCTGTGGGACCCCGAGAGTAAAGGTTTTCACTTATGCAGCGACCGCTTCATATCAGGTACTTAAACCAACGTTTCCTCAACTGTGTGTGGTATTTATTTTAAATGCTTTTATTACGATTCTTAGTGGGCTTCCTAAACTTATTTTGGCGTGGCTTTTTCTGTCTTATTACTCATAGTAACAAGTAAACGTCACGTAAAACGTTGCCTCGTGATTTCTGCGTGCTGCTGTTTACGTGTTTTATGATCACAGCAATTAACCGGCTAAGCTGTATTTAATTTTTAAGCAATGGTTGATCAATTGTCAGATCACACATAAAAAGCACTTTGGATGCTATTATCTGTCTCACCGAGACAGCTCTCAGACAGATCCTGAGACGCTCCTGCCTGACATATTTATTTTATTCACGGAAAACAATCAAACTAGTAATTTCTCTTGGTGTTCAGTTTATACATTCAAACAGCACAGCACTCTATTTAAACTACTTACATGTAAATCTATGTTATTTGTCCATCCATCCATTTTCATCCGCGTATCCGGAGTCGGGTTGCGGGAGCAGTAGCGTCGAGAGGCCCAGACTTCCCTCTCCCCAGCCACTTGGACCAGCTCCTCCGGGGGAATCCGAAGGCGTTCCCCGGCCAGGTCCGGTAACAAGTCAGCTCCGACAGCTTCTGGCGTTTTTAAAAAGTATCCCAGGGGCACGGTAAGGGTCGGAGATGTTTAGTCTATTTAATTTCTGACTATATAAAACGATTTCTTCGGTTTTAAAGTGTGAAGTAATCTCAGACGAAGTAAAATCCAAGCCGATCCCGTTCAGAATCAGAAAACTTTATTGGTCCCCATGGGGCAATTAATTTGTAGCTTACCACACAGAATAACTCGCTCATAAAAACAACCAAGCAAACAATCCATTTATACAATCACACAATGTGTGTCACTACCAACATGCCGAACACATCCTAAATGATGGGTAGAGGATGAGCAGCAGCCCTCCAAAAATGGCACATGCTTAAAGCCGATGATACTTCGCTGTTATTTCGCCACCCCTCCCGGCTCAGAGTTAAGCAGTTCAATAGCTGATGGAACAAAGGAGTTCACGTTCATGTTCATGGTTACATCCGTGTTTAGCTTCTCTTACCTGCCAATATGGCGTCTACTAACTGAGAGTCACGTGGGGTCCGGAGCTTTATAGAGCGCACCGCAATAAAAGCCGCACCAACAAAAAAAAAAGGTTTTCTACACACACGCCGCACTCGAATACAAGCCGCGGCGCAGCCGCCACATGCAGGTCACCGGCACACAGCGCACGTACGGCCATAACATGAGATAATTAGAAAGACGCTACACGGAGGTTTTTCGTTGTTGTTTTAATTCAACAAAACAAATTTTAAACACGGGTGAACGTGCCTGCAAGTTTAGAAAAGAAAACAGCGCTGATAGCATTCATATTTCTGGATGGTTAGAAAATAAAAACTGCACACAAAACATGCCTGGTTAGTAAATAAAACACACTTGCCTACCAGAATAAGTCATTCGCTCTCATCTTCCTCCTGTGCACTAAAGCCATTAAAGTCCTCTTCTTCAGTGTCGGAGCTGAACAGCCTCAGAAGAGCTTCGTCACATACCTTTTCTGTGGCGATGTCAGTGTCGCTGTCCGTGTTGCTGTCATCATCCCCAGGTGAAGCTGGCTTGAACGAGTTCTTCCCGCTGCCGTCTCCAGCGCCGAACCATGGATTCATTCATGCCAAGCTTACGTGCGGCAGCGCTGTTTCCCTCCTTTACTGCCAGATCGATGGCCTTCAACTTAAATGCGGCATCATATGAACTCATACGTGTAGTTACCATGATGAGGGGGTATGGATTTGAAACAAAGTCTTCGTCGTGCCGGCTGCTTGCATGTGCTAAATTAAAATGAGCACTTTCTTTGATTTCCACGTTTGACTTCCACCGGTTTCACTTTCTGCTAAAGCGCCCCCTAGTGGCAGGTGAAGGAAAATCTTCAGTAAAGCCGCACCTCATTATAAGCCGCACGGTTCAAAGCGTGGGGAAAAAGTAGCGGCTTATAGTCTGGAAAATACGGTAATCATTAAATGAACATTTGTTTATTGCTACTTATAATTATAAAATAATTAAATATTTCATTAATCTGTGCTCAATGAAACATGTTTCGGCATGTTTACTTGACCAGGTCATAACATTTGCACTCACACAAGAACAAAGTAAGGTAAAGTTAAGTCCATGACACATAAATAACCTTTACCCCAGATCAGAGCCTCCGGTGTCAGAGTTCTGAGATTCTTGAAAATATCCCTCAAACTTGTCAACCTCTGGTTGGCTACACAATCTTCAGACTGGCCACAATAAATGATTTTCCGTCATATTGGACTGATAATTAAACTCGACTGAACTGGACTGTAGGAAATGACGTTGACTCCATTTAATTAGCTTGAACTGTTTGAACCGAGTTTAGATCCTAGGTTCGGGCGTGGATCACCTCCAGCCAGCATCGCTACGTAAAGAAATGAAATCACACAGAGGCTTATTAAATCCACGTTTTATTCATTTCAAGAAGTTGTCAAACATATCTACAGCAAAAACATGATGCTCTCATCAAACATCGAATGGCTCCCGTCAGCTTCAATAACAAAAACATCTCTGTACAAACTAGACGAAGGTCGTTGGAGACTTTACAACATTTAGAGAACGACGTGGCGTCTGTGCGCTGCTCACACCGAGGCGGTGAACCGTTGTTGCATAGTGAAAACAAAGTGTTCAAGTGGAGGAACTGTTCACCTCTGCAGAAAACTAAAGACTGGCAGCAAACTCGTGTCTAACTGATGTTAGGTGTGTGTGTGTGTGTGTGTGTGTGTGTGTGTGTGTGTGTGTGTGTGTGTGTGTGTGTGTGTGTGTGTGTGTGTGTGTGTGTGTGTGTGTGTGTGTGTGTGAGTGACCATCGTTTACAGGTTAGTGCATAAAGAAAAGCAAACAGACGAGTAGACGGGACCAAGCCTCCACAGCCGAAAGGGTTTAGTTAGACTCTAAATACAAAAGTGAAAACAGGAAAAGATCCGACCCGGCTCCGAGCCGATCGCCTTCACAGTTCAACGTTTGGTACCGTTCAACAACCACCGTCTCAGAGTTCAACAGAACAAGTGAGAATCTAACAACACAAGTCAGTAATAAATAAAGTTACTTTCGCCTCTCCCACATCTTTGGTTTAGTCCACCTGTGACCTTTAAGGTCCGATTGTCAAACCGCAGTTTTTCTGGATCCAAACGTCGGGATAAAAACTTCCACAGCAGCTGGTTCGTCCGACATGTTTGAGATGTGCTCAGCTGTGATTACTCCCGCGTTCCCCAAGCACCAACTCAGTAACAGGACTAGGTTTAGAGTTTTCGTTTACCAAGTCAAAACTTTACAAGATGTTTCAGTTTTTCTCAGCTGTCAATCATCAACGCTCTTGTTTAGTTAGGGTTAGAGGTTACCGGGTTAACCAGTCGCCTGAGAGATTACCGGGTTAACCAAACTTCAAAGATTACCGGGTTAACCAGACGTCAGAATCTAAAGTGAAGTGAATTTTTTTATAATCTGGGTTTTCGTTAGCAGTGACTCAGCTTCTAACGTAGCGATGAAACAGCCGAGGGGCCACAGTCTCTGGTTCAGCTTCACATTATTTACCTGCAGTTTCTAACTCAGACCACCAGGTGGCGAGAAACAGGTCTGCCAACTGTCGGGTTTGTAGGATTTCTCTCGTAAGGACAGGAATTCCTCGATATCTCCTAAAAACAACCACTAATGTTCCCAAGACCTCATCACATGTTTGAACTAAATCTGTGTCCTGGAGTTCTCCAGATGACAAACACACACGCTTTAGGAAACGATGAAACCATGGCCTGTAGACGCTGTTATTAGAGCGACCGTTTGCTCAGAATCACAAAATGAACGTCTACAATCAGTCTGTAGGAGTTTAACCGTTCATGGAAACGTTTTTGACGTTAAAACGTGAAATCAGCAGGCCATAATGTTATTTTTACTGCAGGGATTCATCAGCATCATGAGATGGTGAAACCACGGTCAGACACTGAATTCAGGGACAAAACTGGGTTTTAGCGGTTTTGTGAGGAAGGCAACTTAAATCCAGTTTGTTGCAGTTTGCAGATTGTGCCACTAGGTGTCCCCACTCATCACACATTGGACCTTTAAGACAACCATTTGGAACACGCCAAGGAAATGGACGCTGAAACCAACGGGACCTGAAGTTTCAGAACAAACATAAGAACGTGAAACAGGAAGTGTTGCACATGTTGCCGTGAGTGAAGGAAACGCTAGCTGCTAGCATCTAGCTAAAACACCACAAGAAGGTAAAAATCCGTCCAGCTCAAGCAAAGTGCACCACAAAGCCTCAGTTCACTGATAAACTGTCAGGAGCTGAAGGTAAAGAGCGTGAGGTAGGACCACTTCACACAAAAACCTCGATGACTCCTGCCGAGTCACCGAAGTCTGGAACTGATCCGTTCTGATCCCACCTTCCTGGAGATCTATTCCGTTTAGTTTTTCCGTTAAACCCGAGGCTGTTCTTACAGCGGAGCCCAATCCTGCTGGAATTTCCTCTCAACAGTCAGCAGGAAGCAACGCAGACTTCTGGACCGCTGCAGAGTCGGGATGAGTGAGCCCAACTGCCTCTGGGAATTCTATCCAGAAGGGAAAGTTCCTGAAGAATTCAGAAGAATTTAATCAGGTCATGAACTAGAAAAGACTCAATAGTGCTCTGGTGTGAAAGCTGCTGAACTTCACATCTTTATCGAGCCCAGAAGGACCGACTGAAGGAGATTTCACTTTCAACATTTCAGACGTCGTTTCACTCTTTGGGTTCAACGGGAACCAACGCCCAAGTCCAATTTGAATCTCCTGCTGGACCCGGCTTGGTTTCCATGGCGACACAAAGCCGGTGATATTCACAGTGCCTTCTGCCTGGAATGTGACATCAGAGTTCATGAGCAGATGTTGGATTTTATTTCCGACCTTTGTTACATCTTCTGAATCTGAACAGAACCGCAGCGTTTGGGTCCCCAACCAGAACAATCTCATCCCAATCCAAAACACTAAAATAAGAAAGCAGTTCTCAGTTTGTTGCACATTTCCATCTGAAACTTCACAAGTTTACAGACTTGGGGGCGAATATTTCCAATCGCACTTTGTGTAAATCATCATTAAGGCACGGGCCACCGGGGGGGCGGGGGTGCACAGGCTGCAATGGCCGCGGGGGTGCACAGGCTCAATCTCAGGATGCAGGAAAATAAACAACAAAAACAACAAATAAAACCCGGTTTCTGAATCGACCGTCACGACCAGAGAACGGTGGTGAGGTTTTGGGAGTAAATGTCCAGTTTGGGACGTCCGGCTCGGCCGGGTTCCTGAATGCTTCACAGTTCGGGTCGTTCTGGTTCCACTGGAGCCTTCGGCCACGGCGTCGACGTAACTGTAAACAGACGAGAGATCAACATCAGACTCCAAATGCTGGTTGTGTCCTAAAGGAATAATCCATCGACCCTGAAGGACGTAAACGCCATTTCTGTGAACGGAGGCCGTTCCTGAAGCCAACTACTTTAACAGTCAAGCTGTGACTCGTCAAAATAAAAGCATCAAGTTACACTCCGAGCACTCCCGGTACCGGTTTTCCAGCCTGATCCTGCTCTGAAGATTCTGAATGAAATATTTTATTTTCCACCACCCCGCCATGACTAGTACCGGGTTTTTATGGCAGAACTTCTCTGAAAGCCTAAAATATCCAGCATTCATGCATTTAGGAAGCTGCAGTGACAGCTTTATGTCAACAGGTGGCGACAGATCGCACCTGTGCAGCTTTGTTGGTAAAAGAGAAAAGCTGAGAGGAAACCACTGATGAGCAGGCAGGAATGCAGGTGAGAACATTTGGAACCGGAACTGTTTGGAGAACCGTGGCTGAGCACTGCGTCGGAAAACCCTCGACACACAAGAGTTTAGTCTTCGGAAAGGAAAGAATTTTCCTGCATATGGATAAATGTCCCCGGCTTTCTGTCAACTTGTTCGATGAACTTTTCCTGCAAATCTTTACTTTCCAACAGTTTCAGATGTAGTTTTGTGTAAATGTTCCAGATTATTGACACAAGCATCGTCTATGAGGAGCTAAAGTTTAGTTAAGACGTATTAAACACAAGCCAGTGCTGCCCTCAGGAGTCTGCAGCGTCTCCTCACCGAGCCAGAGTAAACACACACCTGGAGGTGACTCCTGCCTGTGGGTCCTGTGCTCAGGCCCGGCTCAGCGCTGTGCTCTAATTATAGCACGCAGCTGACGTGCATCGGCCCGGCTGGCAGCGGTTTGTTCCCCTTTTCACGTTTACATAACAGCGCACCACATGGAGCAAACACAAGCCGAGCAGGAGGCTCTAACGCACGTCATCGGCTGAAAACCGACCGGAGACATGGAGAGCATCTGTCTGAACAACAGCACAACTTAGAATACCCATCATGCACTTCACCTGCAGCACGCGCGAGTTCAGGCTCAGTAACAGACGTAACGAGCTGAAATTATTCAAAAATTCATTCAGTCAGTTTGTTCACTCTGATGCTGAATTACATCATCAGGTAAATCTCTGGGTGGAGAAACAGGAAATAAAAAATTATTCTAAAACCAGCTTACTGTGCTTTTATTTTGAAGGTAGACACTGGCAGGAGCAAACTCCACATCGGCTCCAGTGACAACAAAAACTGTAAAAACAGGCGTCATAATTTACTCTGAGCTCCAGGAACCTGACAGACCAAACTAAACGATGGCAGAGGCGCGGGTAAATCACACAATCCTGATATGTTTGTGCTGTTCTGTTGTTTCTCCTGCTTTTGCTAGCATGACGCTAATCCCAGCTAAAAGGCAAATTTAATAACGCATTCAGGCCCGATTAAACGATTCAGCCTTCCAGAGCAGCTTCTCATGAAAATAACTTCTTAATCCTGATGTGACGAGTGTCACATTAGCTTTAGCAAGTCGCTATCAGTTTGAAAACAAAATCAATGATGAACCTGAAGGAAGTTGGTTTTTATTTCATTTTTTACAAACTCAGTTATAAAAACCGTTTTATAATGTCTGACTGGAGGCTGCTTTAAAATAAAATCAAGTATTTTAGAAATCCTAGACCCAAGTCCAGATGAGTGCCGAGTCGTGTTTTGGCCAATCAACTCTGCAGCAGGAGAGTTTTTACATGATGAGTGGTTGTCACAAACCCTGCGCAAGCACGCACGCACACACGCACACACGCACACGGAGCTGTTCGGGTCATCGGTGAGGAAATGTCAGGATTCTGAAGCTAGAAGTTCCAGTTTCACTTCAGCTCAAACCCGTCGACCAAAGCAAAAAGCTTCAAGGTTTACATGAAAAACTTCATGCGGGCGGTTTTGTGTTCTCGGTCACACGTGACACGGTAGGATGGGATCTCTGTGGGATCAGGAACACCGTTCAGGAGAGAAGGTTCAGGACCAGTAGGAACTCCTGTTCTCCCAAATCCCAGCATCTTCTGAGAAACGCTTGAACTCTCATTGTTCTTGTGTCACCGGGGTCGCTTCTGCAAACGCCACAAGAGACGGTGAGTGAGATGGCGCTCGCGTGGGTGCACGCTGCGAGCTGCTCGTCCTCTTTACGCAGTGGTACCTCGCTTTTTACTGGCTTTTATTGGCTTTTATGCATTTTTGTTGTCTCTGATGCTTTTTTTGAATGCTGTGGATCCTCTGCTGACATATGACCGAGCTGCGCTGCTGAGGCTTTGTCCTTCTGTTGATGTAGCGGCTGTTACGCGCTGGGAACCTCACGGATGGCGCTGCTGGTTGGACTGCCCGTGTGCTCTCTCCACCCAAGCCGTGATGTGTCGGCCCTCTGTCCGCCCCAGCGCGAGAAGGAAGCATCGGAGAAGACTGGGAAAGAGAGGTAGCCGGCGCGTGAGACGTCGGCCTGGATCCCTGAAGAAGCGGCTGGCCCGATTCGGCCCAGCTTCTGACCCGGTGGTTCCGAGATGTCTCCTGGATTACTCGGCGCCCTGCCCAGGGAACTTGGCCGGCTCTGAGGGTGAACCGGCACCGCGCCACGGCCGATCGGCTTGAAGATCTCGCCAGATTGGGGTTTGCTGGGAGAGTCTGCGCTCGGTTACGGGCACAGAGTTAGAGGGGACTGTGCTCGTGCGCGATCCCGGTGCTGCAGCCCCGCCGCAGACCCGGTTTGGTCTGGTCAATGCCAGGTCTGTGCTGAACAAAACTTTTATTCTTTGGGATTTTTTTATTCAGCTTGACTTGAGTTTTCTCTGCATCTGTGAGTCCTGGACCCCGTTTGGTGACTCAAGCGCCCTGCTGGAGCTGGTACCACCTGGCTGCTCCTGTTTTAATATCCCCAGATCACGGGGCAGAGGTGGAGGGCTGGTTGTTGTTTTTAAATCCAGCTTTCCTTGTATTTCCTTGTATTTTTCTACGTTTTGGCCTATCATCCACATGAAAACTGAGTTTTTTCACACGAAAACGGATCTTTTAAAAGTGAAGATCTGTGTTTTCTCCGTTTTGGGTGTCTGCGTGTGGACAGACAAAACCGGAGTTTTAAGGTCCGCAACGTCACTTTCCGCGACAAAACAATGCTGACATCACGTGTGCGACCTGTGTTTACACTAGCCGACATCATGGATGCCCTCAGAGCTGCGCTCGCTTTATCAATTGTCCAAGCGCTTTTTGCTTGTTTGTGTTTGCAAGCGGAATTACTGCTCCTTGTGGAAGACCACAGACGAAGGACAAGGTTAAGAACGGGGGAAGTACTGCCGCCTACAGGTCTGGCATGTCCTTAACAACGTATTTATCCGGGTACGTGTGGACAGAGTTTTTTTAAAACGAGGTGGTGTGGATGCAAGTTTTTGGAGGGGCGGATATTTGTTTTTAAAAAACCCGGCTACGTGTGGACTAGGCCTTACTCTCCATTGTGTCAGGAGAAAGGTCACTATCCAGTCCTTTGTGTCCTGTGGTAACGAGGTGAAGTCTTGGCTAATGGCCAACGTTCTGCATCTGAATGAGGGAAAGACAGAGCTCATTGTTTTTCACCCCAACACCAGGAATGTGGATCGTTTTATGCTGTCAAGAGCCCACCTGGAGCGGGTACTCCATGCTTTTGTAATTTCTAGGCTTGACTACTGCAGCTCTCTCTATGCAGGGTTGTGTCAGTCATCACTGCGTCGCCTACAGGTTGTGCAGAACAGCGCAGCCAGGTTCCTGACTGGGACCAGGAAACGGGACCACATCAGTCCAGTTCTGGCCTCCCTGCACTGGCTTCCGGTTTGCTATCGTTCACACTTCAAAATCCTCGTCTTTGTTTATAATTTCTTCCAGGGTGGTGCTCCCCCCTATCTGGCCACGCTCCTGAACAGACACTCCCCATCACGCGCTCTGCGCTCCTCTGACCAAGGCCTGCTCGCTGTCCCTCGTTCTAGGTGTCGTACTCGCGGGGACCGGGCTTTCTCAGTCCTAGCACCGTCACTCTGGAACCAGTTGCCACCCTCAGTTAGGCTGTCCCCTTCTCTGCCAGTCTTTAAGAGTCACCTAAAAACACACCTCCTCCGCTTGGCGTTTCCAGAACATGTTTGATTTCGGCCCTCTTTTATGTTGAATTTATTCACAGTTTTTATTGGTTCACTCAATCCCTTGTTTTACTCACCTGTCCTGTACTAGAATGTTTCACCTTTTTTTGTAATTTGTAATCTGTAATTTGAATTGCTTTTATTTTTGATTTATTCACTATATTTGTACTTCTACTGAACCATGTTCAGGGCCTTGGGCTTCCTGACAGGGTTGCGGAAGGTGCTTTATAAATAAAGCTTTGATTGATTGATTGATTCACAAACCAAACAATCAGATGTTCTGTTGGTTTCGGGGGAAGAATCTCTTTGATTGGAGTGTCTCAACGCGCCGAGACCCTTCCAAACCACGAAACTCATCTGCATTAAAAAAAAGAGGATGAGAGGAGCGTTCCTGGTTTCAGGCTCTAAATGTAAACTGGGTCTTTATTCTCCAGACAGCAGAAAAACACCTTTTCAATTCAATTCACAAATACCTCGTTAATCCCAACAGAATCTATCAAAACTCCATCTGACAGACAGGAAGGAGGACTGCTACTTGGCTTCAGCAGGAGGAGGACTTGGTCCTGAAGACCAACTCATCTTTGTGAGTCTAAACTTTGAGGAATTCCACCGCGAGCTGCGTGGCGGCGCAGCCGGAAGCAGTCTTAACATCCCAGTTAATCGGAATCTTGTCTGGATTTGAACCCTTTCAGCATCTCAGATAATCCCATCCTCTCTAATGTCCCATTTTGTCACAGATATGGCTCCTCCAAACCCCACCCACCCCCCACTCTGCAGCAGACGCCTCCCCTCATCTATTATTGAGGCGTAAAGAGCCCCCCCCCCCCCCCCCCCCCCAACCCTGTGCTTTGTTATCACACATGATCACATTAACACAACACAGAAGAACTGATCATGTGACACATTGATAATAGCTGCTCGGACGGGGGAAGGGGGGGGATTAACGCGTGTAAACCCATTAGATCCAGTACAGTCACCATGAATGGGGACAGCAAACTGGAAAAGATGTGGGGATGTGTTCTCTCACACACACACACACACACACACACACACACACACACACACACACACACACACACACACACACACACACACACACACACACACACACACACACACACACACACACACACACACACACACACACACACACACACACACACACACACACACACACACACACACACACACACACACACGTTTATGTAACAACGTGTTTTTACGACCCGCTCTGAGTCCTGAGGTAATTTTTACAGCCTCCTCAGCCACGCTGACTTTTACAGGCGTGATGGAGCTTCTCAGAGAGGAACCTCTCTGGCTTTTCCCTGAAACAGACCCGGGACAGAACTCTGTGTACCGGGCCTTCGAGCGGCTTCATTTCCTCAAAAGAAGAAACTCCTGAAAGTCTGAGCGTCTTTGTTCCAAACCATCTCCAGAGTTATATAAGAGCGTAAAGCTGAAGGAGCCAAGCAGGCTGGAGGGCATCTCGGAAACATCCTCCACCCCAAAAATGCCTCGACACGCAGAGCGGCTCTTCATGCCGTCAACACAAACACAAAAATAAGAATTCCTCGAGGAATAACCGCGGCGTTAGCGGGGGAGCAGGAGCTCCTGGAGCGCTGGGCTGGTTCAGACGGAGGCGGCGCTTGGTTGGCACGCAGCAGGAGGACACAATGTTCCCAAGCAGAGGTTCTGAACCAGGAGCTCCTATTGTCCAGCGGAGGTGCTGCGACAGGGTGGGGGGGGGGGGGGGGGCGCAAAGACATCCATCATCAACATAAATCATCAGATTTGACCCGAAACCTTCAGCACCAGACTGTAAAAACCCAATTTAGAGTCAGATTTACTCCTGAATCATTAATATTAGAAATCAGCACAACTGCTCCTATTCTCTATGGGGGGGGGGGGGCACATCAACGTTGAAGGTAAAATGTATTCTGAACCAGCGGAAATGTAAATATTTGTGCTTTTTACATAGTTAAAACATGTTATTTATTTTTAAATAATTAAAAATCATTTTAAAAACATGATTTTTCTGCAAATATGTTTTCAAGTATTTAGAAAAAGCAATAAATCCTATTAAAATCTGCTTTAGTTTTATTATTATCGTGTTCCCAGTCATCAAAACTAATAAAATACAAACGTTTTCCTGTTGGGTGAACCACAAACACTTTCATGGTCGTATTTGCTGTGGCTGAACCTGTCCAGGTGTACCCAGCCCCCCAAGACCCTGCGTAACGGATCGATAATGAAGCATAGAGGCTCACCCCTTGAGTTAGGAGTCTGTTCAGGTCAGAATTAAAATCATGTATTAAATAAAACAGATTAAAGGCGCCTACGGTTCTACAGACGAAGGATAAAGACGTGAACAGAAGGCCTTGTGGGTCTTTAGGACCGGTTCTGTCTGGTTTCTATAAGAACTGCAGTTCCTTGTGGGTTCTTCATGCAGGTGAATTACATCTGATCTTCCTCCTGCTCCTTTTCCACTCATGACTTTCGTTTCTTTTCACGTTTTTGTGGATTATTGACTGAAATAATCTGACTCAGTCACACGACTGTTGTAAAAACAACCAGACGACCAGAAAGATCCGGCAGCTCCTACAGGAGCCACACCAGGTCGCGTCAGACTTCCTGTGATGCGCTCGCTAGCACACGGGCAGCTACAGCTGACAGGTTTTCCCACAGAACCAGCGCCGGCCCGTGGGCCTGTTGCATAACCGTCAATCCCATCACTCGGCTAAAGAACGAGCCCGATCGGAGGCGGCGGGCGAACACGCAGCGGCCGCTTTGGTCCGTCAGCTGGGAAGCGTTACGTCACTCCTTGGACAGATTACCGCTGCGAGTTAACAGCTGAAAGGGCCGCGGAGAGAATGGTCAGAACTGGGTTCTGGTCAGCTCAGAGTTCAGGCTCCGCTGGTTCGGGTCAGCGAGCATCCATTCAGCGGCTGTTTGATGTGCTCTACATACCAGAGACGATTAACAGCTTACAGGGACACTCTTGCTGCAGAACAACTCGTCCTGCTGATGAGAGCAGAGGAGCGAGCCGTGACCTCACAGCTACTCCTAAAGACGTCTCCAGCGGAGACACGACGAGCTCCAGATTCCTCCAAAACAGACCGAGGACTTCCCACAGAGCCGCAGGAATAAGAAGAGTCAGAATTTAAGTTTCATATAAGAATAAACATTCAAATTCCGAGATTAGAAGAAATAATTTCAGACTAAAGAGGAAAAACGTTGCTGCTGGATCCAGACAACACAGAAGCTCAGAGTTCACGCGCTGCAGAAGCAACAAATCCAGAGTCTCCTTCAGAGACTTTCAGCAGATTATATGGTAAATAGCCTGTATTTGATACAGCGCCTTCTAGAGTCCTGGAACCCCCCAAGGCGCTTTACCACACAATCAGTCATTCACACATTCACACACTGGTGGTGATGAGCTACGATGTAGCCACAGCTGCCCTGGGGCGCACTGACAGAGGCGAGGCTGCCGAGCACAGGCGCCACCGGTCCCTCCGACCACCACCAGCAGGCAAGGTGGGTTAAGTGTCTTGCCCAAGGACACAACGACAGCGACAGACTGAGCGGGGCTCGAACCTGCAACCTTCTGACTACAGGACGAGAACTTAACTCCTGTGCCACCGTCGCCCGTGCCACGTAGATTATATGTAATAATCCTGTTTCTGTGAGTTTCCGCTGCTTCGTTTGCCTTCCTGACCTCGACACACAGCGGCCGTGGCGTCGCTGGAAAAGCCCAAAAACAGCCGTGAGCCGCCAGCGGAGCTCGAAAGCTCGGGAGCATTTTTATAAAAACTCAAGAGGAGCACGTGCAAGGTACGACATGTGGGTGTGACAAGTGGCCTCTGTAAGCTAATTTGCTAGTTAGCATCTAACATTCTCATCAACAGTGAGCTGCAACATTAACAGAGGTTTGGCTGACGTTGCATAAACACAAACTGTCCTCACCTGAAACCATAAAACAAAACCATCAAATTAGCGATCGGGCTGCCAGACATGACTAATCTGGGGAAACGGGATTCAGAATGGGCTGAATCGGTGTGTCGTAGGGTTGGGATGATGAGAAATCATTTAATCGTGGATGAAAATGAATTTTTCCAGGCTCAACCAATCATGTTGTTACACGAAGGTTTAATTGTTGCATTTAAAGGGTGAACTCGTGTTATTATGATACATGAACATCACATACGTGGGTATTTCGGTCTCGATAACGTCGATAATATCGTTTATCGTCCATCATTTGTTGGACAATTTATCGTCCAGCTAAATGTGTTATCGTCCCAGACCAAGTGTGTTGTTTCTCTCTCTCTCTCTCACACACACACACACACACACACACACACACCCAGACCGTTTGCCCTCGGGCTCAGGCTGTACTCTGCCTGCTTCATTGCACCAATTCATCCTCCCTTTCTGATCATTATGATCCACAGCACACCACAGGAATTCTCCGCCCAGGTGAAAGCATTGCCCTCTCCCACAACACCTAACACAGGTACACAGGTACACAGGTGTGTGGATCCTAAAACGCGTTCTAGTAAAGGTGACTTTAGCGGTGTGGCTCCTGATACTTGGGGTCCAGACCCAGAGGGCACCACCGTATAACCGCGGGTTTACGTATGAACGTAGACGCAGCACAGCTGTTTGTTTGGGTAAAGACGATCTTTGGAGGTTCCTAACGAAGGTGACTTTAGTTTGCAGAAAGGTGATTTAATATTAGATTCACCTTTAACAGGTTGCTGTGGAGGTCAACACAAGTTTCCCTTCAAAATGGCGGTTTTAACACAACATGATGACATCATAATCTACCTCTGTGTCTGAAGGAAACGAACCCTTAGCAACAGGTGACCTCCACAGGAGCTAATGGTGTCAGCACAAAGGAAGATTAGCGGTGTTCAGCCGCGGGTTACCAACGGCCAGCGTCCCACTTAAGCCAGGCCTGGATTGTCCCGAGTCACAGGTTCAAATCCCGTTAATCACCACAGAAGTTCGTTTTTCTAACGGCATCTCCGTGACGCTCCTGGTCCAATAAACCCGATTCAAACTGTATCTGGTTACCGTGGTAACCACTTTACATTATTACTGCTTCATAATAAATCCGCAGTTAACATCGTTTTGATGTTGAACGCAGATGTTACGAGTCGTTATTTACTTAAAAACAACCTTTCAACTCGTCGACGCTGCTGCAGAAAACACTGTAAAAACCATGCTCATGGTTGTGTTGTGTGCATCTCTGTAAGCGGCGGTCTGTTGGGTTCACGGTGACACGGCGTGACCGCTGAAAGCAGGTTCTGCTGTTGGTGCGACGAGGACGTCAGGCACATTTCGTTAATATTGTGATGACATCATTAACTGTAGCCATTTCCTACCAACAATAAACGACATAGAGAAGAAAAGGTGGAATGGGAGTTACCTGGGAAGGACATGGGTCCCTTCTTCGATGACAAGTTTGGGGAAGCATCTGGTTTCGTCATGCAACACACGTAACTTGGTCCATCCTCATCTCAAGCTGGAGGGCGTCCGGGCGGTCCTGAGGGTTGACGGCAAGCATGTCCAGGAGGAGTTCTTTCACTCCCTCAGACATGGAGCTTCTGGCCTTCTGAGGGATGTGGAGCACCATCTTGGGGTTCTCCAGCAGAGCTTCCCCAACAGGTACGATCTCTGTGCCCCGTCGGACGTAGGTGCCCAACAGTTCCCTCTTGGACTCAGCGTCAATAAAAGTGATTCTCTCAATCATTGCCCAGATGATGATGCCTAGAGCGAAGATGTCAGCCTTCGCTGTGTAGTGTCCCTCCCAAACCTCTGGGGCCATGAAGAAATCCGACCCACAAGCTGACGACAACCAGAACTTGTTAATGTTGCCGACCCTGTTCTGGTTGCTCCCCCTGGCGCCGGCGCCAGCCACAAGTTGCTCTTCGCCGTTTTTGGCATTCAGGCCTGCGCAGACTTTACTGAGACCAAAGTCCGCCACCTTAAGAACCGGCGAACCGGATTTCTGCGAGATGAGAATGTTGTCCGGTTTCAGGTCCCGGTGGACGATGTTGTTCTTGTGCAGGAAAGCTATGGCACACGTCAGCTGGCACATGAAGCTCTTATTGGTCTGCGGGTCGGGCCTCCGAGACAAGATGTACTGGTTGAGGTCGCCACCTTCACAAAACTCCATGACGAACCAAAGGTAGCAGGGCTCCTCTGGGTAACCAAGGATACGCTCCCCTGGAGAAACAGAGTTCAGTCAGTCAAACAGCCTCAAACCAAAAGCTGCTCAGAAACCTGGTTTCAGAATAATGGATGCAACCGATCTGGATTCAGAGTAATCTGCTCCCGTCCACAGGTCTAGGAGTACGGAGGTAGTGTGTGATACCATCAAGGACTAAACTCAAAAGGTCTCCTCTCACATCGGTTTCCTCCCCAGCAGCCAGACGTTGGTGCCTCAGGGTTATCTTTGGTTGTCGTTCCTGCCCAACTGTTGTACCAGACCACGACGCGATAACACGATCTTTTATACAGCGACTCTACAAAAATCACAACGGGCTGACACAAACGAGCAAAGTGGACAAGAGCAAATGAACAAAGTCAGCCCTAAAAACGACCATCTCCATGTTTAATTATAAAACCCAAAACCTCCTTCGTCCATCGGTCACCCATTCACTCTGTTTGACAACCAGTTCCACGTTTGTTGACACAACTCTGGCTCATCCCTTGAGTTAGGAGCCTTTAAAAGCCTGAAAGGGTTTAAAGGTCAGAGATAAGTAAGAAAACATTCCTCTGAAAATTCTCTGGTACAGAGTCTGAAGCCCAAAGGAAAAACAGCCAAAGTCCAAAGCAAAACTCTGGAGGATGTAAACCAGTAAAGTCCAGCTGCTGGGAAGGAAAACCGGACCCGGACCTTTGAAACGCTGTAATTACGATGTCTGCGGATCAAACTCTAAACATTAAATCCTCGTGTCTGTGAAGGTTCTCAGTCATCCAGGTCATTGTAGTCTAAGGAGCTTTGAAAGAGAAGCGTCTGGACTTCTTTGAGTTGCTTGAAGACGTTTCACCTCTCATCCGAGAGGCTTCTTCAGTTCTAAGGTCAAACGGTGGAGTCCCAGATTCAAACCCAGTGGGAGTTTCCCCCCCGAAGAGGGAACAAAAGACCCCCTGATGATCCTCTACATAGTACATAAACACATGAGCCAAGGTGTGAGGGTGGGCGTGGGTCCTATTCAGCCAGAGTTTCGGGTGAGCTCTTGAGATTAAATCATCGTACATAATCCTGAGGTCATTCAGTCAATAACTAACATTCTGGGACTCTGAGCTTGCTCTGGATCCTGATTTTAGAAGTAAAACTTTGTTTCTGTTAAACACATTGTTGGACAGCAGAAAACTACATTTTGATAAAAAAAAAAAGCAGCCGTCTATCAAAGTATTTGGTTGTTGCATCAACCGGACCCAGCTGACGCGTGGGTGTTTTATTTAAGACGACATCGCTTTGCTGCGTGTGAGGTTCGTGAGGAGGCCCGACTCTGCGGTAACAGCGAAACTGGATTTAAAGAATGAGGAGGAAACTGCGTCACTCGCCCGCAGCGACCTGCACTGATCATCACAGTGGGCCATGACTGAACATTTCTGCACCTCAAACGGGGTTACATAAACCTGCACAAAGCTGGTCCACCACGCCGAATAAAAACCAGTCCTGCACTGTTCTTCTGACTCTTCATCTGCTCTAAAAACGGTGTCATCTACAGATTTTTTAAAGTAGTGACACTTACATAACAGGTGGTTCTTAACAGCTAGATTTGACATGGATTAAGAGATGTTTGTGCATATTATTCTTGTACAGAAAAGCGATCCACAGGCCAAATTAAAGCCAGGATGGCCAAAACAAGCTGCAGAAAACCAACATAATTCAGAGGTAAAGTGAGGCGACATGAACTTAAATTGCTTTTACATGTGTGGATGTTTAGTAAAGAGGCCAACAGGCTGCCAAGTAGTACACTGTGTCCTCTGAGGGAAACAGAGCGGTCTCTGTGGCTGGTGTAGGTGATGTACAGCGACATCACTGTCATACAGGAGGCTGCACAGGGAAGTGGAAACAGCTTCAAACTCCCTTTTCTGCTGGGTGATGCATGCTGCATGTCCCAGTTAGGATCCACACAGGGTCCTGGCTTCACACGCAGCACCACTGCGTTCACGTCATCCTTTAAATCCTGGGTTAGATAACTAAAAACAGCAACAGATTTTTTTAAACAGGGAGACATTTCTGCTTTTAGGTAAAACAAACTCAGCAGAGCTTTTATTTTTGCACACGCTCAGATGCTTTTATTTTGTAACAGGCTAGCTACAGCCGCTGAGTCATTCGTGTTTTTTTTTTAGCTTCGATGACTTGAAAAGTTCTGATTTAAACGTTAAAATAAACCTTCCCGCCTCTGTTTTAAACGTGTAACACGAGCGTTAAAAGTTGAAAGACTTTACTGAGTGTTTGGGGCTCCTGCTGAACATTTTAAAGCCTAAATGAGGTCATTTGTTGGAGGGTTACACAACAGTTGCTAGCTACCTTTGAGCGAGGTCTCCACCAGGCGCAGGTACTGTTTGGACCTCTTATTACCGTGGCTCATCTTCTGGGCCAGGCCGTTTCTCTGCAGGACACACTCCTCCAGCTGGACCACATTCTGGTGTCGGTTCTCCAGGCTCGTCAGGGCCCAGAACTCGGCCAGAGCTAGCTCAACGTTTTCAGGAGCGTCGCACTGTAGCCTCTTTACCGCCACTCTGGCCCCGGTTTTCCGGGCCACGGCCTCGTACACCACTCCGTAGCTTCCCCGGCCCACCTCCCGGAGCAGGCTGTACCTGGGAGAGGGTCCGGACGGGTCACTACGGAGGAAGCTAATACTACTGAAGCAGTCCTCGTTGTCCTCCTCGTCCATGACTTCCACATGGTTGTTCTCCACCGAGAGGGAGCGGAGGATTTTCACCGCCTCCCGCTTCATCCTTGCGGCCGCCGAGCGCCTGCTACTCCGCACGCCCCCGCTTACCTTTCTTTTCTTCCTGTTGCGTAAATCCATAACTTCTTTTTTGTTGAAGGGAAACATGAAGGGAGGGCGTGTTTATCGGTCATTACTTAACTCCTACCGAATAAAGTTTTGCCGTCTTAACGTCTGCCTGGCAGCGGTTCGGAGAAGGTAGTCTCAACCTCGGTAACAGTTCTGGATTAAAACGCGGAGAGCCGCTGGTTGTCCGTCCAGCTGTTGTAACTAATTTGGCTTCCTAAACAAAATGTTCCTGCTCTGTCGGAGAACGGAGGGCGTGGCTTATGCTGCAGCTTCGCCGGCGCTGATTGGTGGAGACAAACCAACTCGCGGAAACTCAAACGGGAAATTAGCAAACACGCTACATTTGATGTTTGAAACCTGAACGCTGTTCGTATCGGTAGTGCGTAATTAAAATGATTATGACGCTGATTCGGACACGCCCTTACCGAATCCCTCCTCTCATCGTCCGCCATGGGACGTGGAGGAGGGTGGGGGTGGGTGGGTGTGAGCGCACGTGCACTCCAGCAATGCCCCAGCTTCCATTCACACCAACAGCAACGTGCGCTTTTACACGCGCATCTAGTCATCTTAGTCGATCTTAGTCGATCTAAAATAAAAACTAGGATGGTTAAAAATACAATCAGATTAAAAGTTAATATTTTAATCATTGTTTCTGCTTGTTTTAAAATATGTCCTCACTTCTGTATTGTTTTCGTTTCAGCACATTCAAAAGCACAATAACAGTGTCCTAAAATCCAGATTGTGGATGTTAAATTGTCCATATTACAAAAATAAGAAAAGAAAAAAATGTGTAAAGTAAAAATAATTATAATGAATGATAAAACTGTTTTGGTAACAAATTAACATCTTTTAAATTATATTATAATAATTAATTGTATTTTTTGTTTATTCATTTATTAATATGTATTCATTTATAATTTTATTGTTATTTCATTAGAAATATTAATAGGGGTTATGTATGGAAGCACAGAGCTGCCACCGACGCAAAATAAAATTAGAGCATATCACATTATAACATCATACTTTTATTGTTCCAACAATAGAACTTTCAGGTTTGTACAATATTTGATCACATTCTTACAACACAGTATCATGTTTTTACAATGGGATTTTTATGTTTTTGCAATATAATATAATGTTCATACAACATAAATATAATATTGTGCAAATGTGATATTTAATTTTGTTCTAACATGAAAATGATATTGTTAGAACAATAAAAATGATGATGTTGTAAGGTGACATCGCTCTAATTTTATTTTGTGTGGGAGGCTTACAAATGTGGTTCAATTTCTGACTCAATGTTTATCAAACTGGCTGAGTTTCATATTCATTTGATTACAAATTACCAATTATCTGTCTATTTCATTGTGTAATTGTATAACTGAATAACAAGCAGTTACCACCTGCAGCACCAGAGGACACACATGCAGGATTCCACTAGAAGGTTATGGAGGAAAGTACTAATCCTGTAAAAGAGGTGGAGCGCTCAGAAACTCAGATAGAAACAGGACGTTTACCTTTAAAACAAGACATCCAAAACATGTTTATTGCAATGATGTTAAATTAAACAGATGTTTTGTGGGTCTTGTGTCAGTGTGAGCAGGACATTTTTCTGTATTTTTGGATGTTTGACCTGATATTTTTCCTTTGGCTTGATTATGTAACCAACTTATTGGCAAGTTGAATTCATTTGTTCTTACTTAGTTAAGCTTTTATTTTTGTGAAAATGTCTAAAACTGTTTTTGTTGTTGGCTTTCTGCTACTCAGGATACAGATTTATATTTTCACTGAATGTTTGTTTAAAGAGCAAGTCACTCCAAATCACCATTTTTTTCCTGATAAACTATATAAATGCGTGTCTAATCGTGCTGCAGACACGTGTCATCAATAGTTTTGCACTTTAGTGCATCTTAGTTAAAATTTAAATATTCTGCCTAAAACTGTCAGCGTTGCACCGTCGTCGGGCAAAAACTCAGCACTGCATTTGAATTTAAATCTGCCATCGCTATTGGCTAAGAGGTACACTATGATATGTTAGATGGTACATTATGATGTCACAATGTCGTGAGTGTGTTTATTTGTTAGAGGCTCCGCCCTCTCGGTCTGCTAGGCAACAGCATTTGTTTTTCAAACGGCGGGGGTGACTTGCTCTTTAATAAATAAAGTTTCTGACCATAAATCAGAAATGCTGTTCCTCAGAATCAGATTGAATTCTTGTTCTCATCACATTTTTCAGATTATCGATGATAAAAAGTAAAAGTTGTGAGTCTTGGATTGTAAAGGCAGTTAAACTCTTGTCACGTGTCCGTGTGATGCTACATAAAGTCGTCAGAACCAGGTGGGATTGTCCAGAACTTGTCTTTTGCCCGCTGAGCTGAACCAGAGGAAGCCTTTCTGATTTCCCTCTTTCCTATTCACTCTCTCACTCTCTCTCTCTCTCTTTACATTTTTTAATTACAATTGTCTATTTTTGCTCTAGTTTTAACCATTTTCTAAATTTTTGTTTATATTTTTACATGTTGTGTTTTTGTGAAGCGCCTTGGGATTTTTATCTTGAGAGGCGCAACAGAAATGATCTTTTCTTCTTCTTCTTCTCCTTTCTGCTGTAATCTTCCGTGCAGCGTTGCATTCACTGGCCTGAATGCCATCGGGCCGCTGTCACAGAGCAGGCGTGTCGTTTATCACAGCTCAGTGGCCGGTTCTGCTCGGTTTGTGGGTCCAGTCAAAAGAGGATTTAGCTGGAGCTCAGAGCTGAAACCAGCAGGAATCTGAGGACGCAGCACATACCTGCTCTCTGAGCTTTCATCTAAACACTACAAACACAGCTCCGTTTATTTCTAACAAAATCAATTTTAAAAATTCTTCAAAATAATTCAATTAAAGTGTCCGAATTCAGGATAAATTCTTCTTTTTATGAAGTAAATATATGGTTGGGTTAATAGTTCTTTTCCTGTCATTATAAACAAAATCAAATGTTTTAAAAATAAAGACAGAATAACTCCTCACTTGCTTTTATTTATTTTTTATGTTTTATTTAATAGTAAAATTATGCAAATGGCCCTCTGAACAGCCTCAGTTTGGAGATACAGAGATTAGTGTCTCCACCTGCTGCTCCTATCATAAAAACTTCATTATAAATGATTTAAATGTAATTTTATAAATGTTTAAAGCATACATTTCCATGTTTTTAACATTGATTTCTGAGGTTATTTGCAGCTTAATTTAGCTGTGGAGCAACAGCAAAACCTCTAGATGGAGTTTCAAAATAATTTGGCTGGAATAATTATGAAATATCACATTTATAACAGTTTGGAGATTGTAGGACAGAATTTGCATGAACTCTCGTGATATTTTAGAGACTGGATCCATTTTTAGTCACTTTTTTTACCCAATTAAAACTAATCTCTGTTTCTCCAAACTGAGGCTGTTCTGTCAACAACAATCAGAGGCTGGTTGTTCAAAACTTTTACAACAGAAACACATTTAAAACATCTGAACAATTCCTTTGATGTTTTACTGCAGCACAAAACGAGACGTAGAGAGAATACCAAACAGTCCCCGAGCGCAGCTCCGTTTCTGCAAAAAGAGACAACAGACGGAAACAATAATTGATAAAAGCAAAATAAAAACATTTCAGGAAAGAGGGGATTTGGGATCTGAGGAGGTCACCAGCTGAATTTGAGATTCGTTTCAAATGAAATATAACAGTTTGGCCTGAGTCGAGCTGACTTTCTGTTTGCACTCATTGGTTCATTTCCTGAAAGGTTTTGCTGTTATTTTATGTATGTGTGACTTAAAAAGGGACATTTGCACATTTAACAGAACTGAACCAAAGACTTTAGGATCTGTACTGATTCTAGGAGCAGCGTCCATCAGGATGAGAGGAACAAACCAGACATAAAAACATGCTCTCCTGACCTCTTGTGGTTGGAGCTGAAAAAAAACCTGTAAATGACACCTTAATGTTCTTCCTCCCATGTCTGTTCTCCACCTCCTGGTAAATAAAAACAACATCAAAGCTGTGACATCAGCTTTTGATGTCAGACCCGTCTGCAGGTAAACATTTTATTATTCTAACAGCGAAAACTGTCAGAAGCCTGCGTGCGTGCGTGTGTGTGTGTGTGTGTGTGTATTTATTTATTTAAGCAAGCCCCGGTCTTGTTTGTGTGTGTGTGTGTGTGAGAGACAGTGTGTGTGTGTGTTTATTTATTTATTTAAGCAAGCCTCGGTCTTGTCGTGTGTGTGCGTGTGTGTGTGTGCACGTATGTGTGTGCTTGTGTGTGCGTGCGTGAGTGTGTGTGCGTGTGTGCATATGTGTGTGCGTGTGTGTGCATGTGTGTGCGCGCATATGTGTATGTGTGCGCGTGCATGTGTGTGTGCATGCGTGCATGTGTGTATGCATGCATGTGTGTATGTGTGCGCGTGCGTTTGTGTGTGTGTGTGTGCACGTGCATGCGTGCACGAGTGAGTGCGCATGTGTGTGTATGTGTGTGCGCGCATGTGTGTATGCATGCATGTGTGTATGTGTGTGCGTGCATGTGTGTGTGCATGCGTGCATGGTGGCTCTGACCTTGCCTGCAGAGGTTTTGTGTTGGAGTCGAGATCTGGCTGTATTATTTTCCGGGATAAACATCTTTCAAGTTTCAGGGACACTCACTTCAGCGCCTGAGTCAGAAAAATCAAACAGCGTTGCCACGGCAACCTGAAGGCCAGAGCCGCTGAGGTAAAACGACATGGACACGGATACGGTGATGATGATCTGTTTGTGTCTTTTGTCTGGAGTTCCATGAGAGCTGAGCTGAACGATCTGAGGGGAACCTGAACGCAGCACGAGGACATGTCCTCAGAGACAAACTCCTTACTGATGTCTTTAGACTGGTTCCTTCAGCTCTGTCCAAACTCCTGATCCAGTTCATTTTTCTCCCCAGCATCCAGATTCCCACTAATTCTTCCATCAGGCTTTATTTATAAAACACTCCTCACACAGATGTAACGCCCACTTCTGCGGGAAATAAAAAAATAATCCAACTAAATCAGCAGAAAGGGAGATAAAACGCAATTACAGGCCAACTTAAAAACATGTTAATAAAAACAAAGAATTCTATTTCCTTAAGGCTAAAAATCAGCTGTGAAATGTAAGAAGTCTGATTAGTTTGTCAGCAGACACAAGAATACAGGTATGTCATCAGCGTAGCTGTGAAGACTGACATGTTTCTGTCACGACCAGAACTTGGAGGACCCGTGATGACACCAAACACAGTAAAAATCCTTTAAAAGTCTTTATCACACGTGGCGTTTACCAGAGGAGGGCGAGGCTGGAGACAGCGTCGGAGAGGAGGCGTGGGTCAAAAACCAGAAGGAGGCGACGCAGGTAAACGGAGCAGGCTAGAGAAGAGGTCAAAGACGGGCGAGGGTCGTGATGGCAGGCAGAGTCCTAGGCAGGGGTCAGGCGTGAAAACGAGGTCCGGAGGCCGTGATCAGGCAAGGTGAAAGGCTGGAAGATCTACTGACAAAGAGCGTTCAATAATCTGGCAGGGAACTGGTGGCTGGCTGTGGAAGCAGGTGTGTGTGATGAGCTGGTGGCAGGGTGCAGGTGATGGTAATTAAGTGGCTGAGGGCTTGATTGAGGAGGCAGCAGAGGCAGAGGAGGGTGTCAGCCTGGGAGTCCTGACAGTGTCATGAGTCGGGGTGAGTACTCCCGTCGCGGTCGCACATTCCATCTTTGAGTTGTTTTTCAGGAGAGGGAGGCGCCCAGCTGCTTCTGGTTAGCAATCAACGGCACTGGCTTCTTAAGGAGTTGGAGAACACACCTCGACGCGGGATGATTACTACTACTCGGTCTAGTGTTGCAGTGACTTTGTACCTCTTGTGTTTTGGCTTATTATTCTCTGTGGATTTTTGTGCTTACGTCTTCTTCAGGATTTTTTGGAACATCTCTGGAGTAGAGCCTTATCAGGATTCAGTGACTCATCAGGAAACTCACCTTTGCCACATAACTGTCTGGACGCAGCTTCCCAGTGTTCTCCATCTCTCCAGTTCCCCTCTCTCCTCTGCTTCCCACACGCTCCCTCTCCTGGATTTACACACCTCGACTCACCCAACTCTCGACCTGCCCCTCCCTATTTCTCCTCATCTCCTTTGCCCAGTAAGTCTTATCTCTGCACCTCCTCAGTTAAGACTTACTTCTCAGGACTCACCTTATTTTGCCCTCCCCTCCTCAGACGCTGAGTACGGGCTTTACTCCATCCACTGGAAGCTCCAGTGCGCTTTTTGTTCCCGTCTATTAATAAATACTATTTTTTGATCTTTATTACCTGTGAGTGTGTTGATTCTGCATGTCCTGGGTTAAACTCCTTCCCCAGACTATGTCAGTTTCCTGATCCATCAACACGGTGTGGGGCTTTGACCCAAGTCCAGTGAAACTCCATATTTAAGAGGAGAGACTTTGCAAAAGAAACCATATCTGAGTAAAAGAGCTGAAAGGAAAGGAAATGAGAAGGGTAACCATCAGAAAACGAGTTATTAACAGGCTATTACTAACATTATATCAATTATAATATAAAATGCATTATAAAAACTAACATTTATTTAATAAAAACAATTACCATTCCAAATTTGTTTATAAGCACATTTAAAAACAGCATGGCAGCTGACCAAAGTGCTGTACAGATTAAAACACATACAATAAAAGCATAACCAACAATAAAAACACATTAAAAACATAATCAGTAATAAAACACATGGCAACAATAAAAATTCATGGGTGGGGCAATGATGTCTCAAAGTGTTTGTCAACAACTTGGCTTCTGCATTCTGAACCTCCGGGAGGCAGAGGCAGGGACACCAAACAGGACAGAGTTGGCATAATCCCACCAGGAAGAGATAAAAGCATGACTTACAGATTCCAGATGCGGCTGTTTTAGGATTGGTTCTAGGCGAGCCAGTCGGCAAAGCCGGAAAAAAACAATATCCGACCACGGCATTAATCTGGGGGGCCACTGAAAGGTCAGAGTCCGATTTGACCCCAAGGCTGGTCACACACTGCTTCACGTCATAGTAGTGTGTGTGTGTGTGTGTGTGTGTGTGTGTGTGTGTGTGTGTGTGTGTGTGAGGCTTTGTGAGGATCCATGAGAATTGCTTCAGATTTGGAATCATTTAGGTTTAGAAAATTGTCAGATAATCAGCTCTTCACCTGCGAGAGCACTTGAGTTGTTCAAGGCCAATTAGATCTGACCATCTTCTGCATTCAAATGATAGCTTAGGGGAGGATGTAGATAGAGAATAAGAGAGGCCCAAGCACAGAGCCCTGCAGTACTCCCCAGGGAAGTGGGAGCCACAGAGAGCAGCATGCACCAAGTTGAGCATTAAAAACTCTGATAAATAAGAGTGGGCCCATGTAAGTGGGGAATACATTTTCATTTATTAGGTATTAGGTTACAATTATAACAAAATATAATTGGCACTTATCTCCTGCAGTACTAAGAGTTTCCACAAGGTGGCAGAAAACTTTAACAGAATTAAACGAAGCAGAAGTTTGAGGACTGTACTAATGGTGTTCAAAGAGCTCCAAGAAGCAAGAAGATGAATCATGATTTATTTAGCATTTAAAGAGTTAAAGAAAAGATGAAAATGTGTTTGTTTGGGAGGAGAATGAAGAAAAGTCCAGCTCACGAGACAGAAACGCCAATCTGTGTGTTGATCAATAAATACAGGGGAGCCTGTCACTAAACGTGTCACTTTTCATGGAGAAAGAGGCGTCTTACTAAAATAACAGCTGATGGAGGAAGAGGCAGGTCCTTTATTCTGCTCTGAAGGTGAAAAGCAGCTGCACCATCAGCCTTGTTGTTGATGTCCTGCTCACAGCTCACTCCACGCACTTTTAAACTTCTCTTCTTATTTTTGTTTAAAATAATCCGTGTTCCCAGACTTCCTGTTAGAGAGCATCCTGCCGCCACACCGAGCTGATGAAGGCTGAACTGTCAGGTGAGATGTTTCAGACGCCTGTTAGACTTCTGCTTTTCTCCAAGGTGCTGAAGGTCATAATTGGGAGAGGAACCAGAAACGGTTGTTGTGTTCTGGTGAGCGTCAGTAATCCAGAACTTTATCCGAGTCCTCCAAGAAATGAATCCTCAACACAGCCTCACGTGTTCCACCTGATGCAGGCAGGAGAAGTCCATCCACGCTTCCAAACACCGGGATGATCCCAGATCAGTACGTGTTTACTGGCAGAAGGATGAAGAGCTCACAGAAGACTTTGTAATTTTAACAAAATGGTTCTTTTTGACTTGATTAGTGGAGAATCGAGGGTCAGAATGTGAGCTGGGAAACGTTTTCCAGGCAGAAATATTTCAGTCGTTTCTTATTTTTGTCCAAGATGAGTTTGTGGCGTCGTTAGCTTTCTCAGTAAAAGTGGGAACGTTTCTGTTTGTTGAAAACAGCAGAACCCTAAACTGTACTCTCAGGTCAGTCTCTGACCTCTGACCTCTGACCTCACTCACCCAACAAAGGTAAAAATAACAAAAACAATTATGAGTTATGTAATTAAATAAGCTAAATCAAACGACCAAATAATAAATATCAACAAATTTATAATAAATATCATAACATGAAAACAAATCACAATGGTTTACAACACTGTATTAAAATAAAATAGATGTAAAAACATTCAGCAGATTTTAACATTTTTAATCCAAATAATTAAAAATGGTTTAAATAATTTATTTAAAAAAAACTATCAAATAAATCCCAAAACATGAAGACATTAATATAAAATAATCTTCATCAGTTTAATATAACAGATTTTATTAAATTATGCTTTATTAGAATATTAATTTTAATATAAATACTCTAAAACATAATAATAATAATAATAATAATAATAATAATAATAATGTATTTTATTTATTTCAAGGGACACTTTACAGCAATAAAATAACAACAAAGAAACCAAGTTAAAAACAGCAAAAATCACATAGAAGTAAAGTCAACCTGAAGAGGATGAATTAAGTCATCGTTTTCTATTAAAAAATCATTTTATATGAATCCAAATAAATAAACTAGAAATAAAAACACTTGAGAAGAAAGTTTTTATTGAACTTGTGTAGAAAAGCTGAACTAAAGGTTTTATTTCATTAAATTCTGACGTTTTAAAACCTAACCTGATGAAACGTGAACGAATCCTCGTCTCTGGTCCAGTTTCCAGTCTCTGCCGACCCAAGCTGAGCTGATGGAGCTCAGATGCACGAGGACCGGAGCTCCTTCCCTGTTTGGACTTGTTCTGAAGGGGAAACAACACAACGTTCTTCCTGTGTCAGGTCCGGGGAGCTTGTTCCGTTTGCTTCTGTCGCTCCGCATCATGCAGCTGGAGCTACGAGGTGTTGGGACCAGGTGGCATCCTGACACCAGACTTCACACGTTTCACAGCCAGGCACACCTGCAGATCCTGGTGAGAAACGAGCACATCTCCACCACCCGGACGGGATAACAGGATGAAGATGGTTGCAGGAGCTCCGGGTCAAATCAGCTGTTTGTGGGGAAGGTCTCAAACATCACTCGATCTTCAGGTGTAACCTTAACCCATCTCACAGGAGAGCTGAAACAGACTCCTTGTCCTGAAAAGGTGTCGGAGATCATCTGATCAGAGTAAAGACCAGGATGAAGAGAGGAGAAAGACCGGGACAGAGACACGGAACTGGTGGTTCAGGATGCATTGAGGTCAGCTGATCCAGACCTTCACAGCAGCCAAGGTGGGCTCCGTCTTTCTGAAGGTCCTGCAGAGCAGTTGCTCGGTTATTTGTTTACGTCTTCCACATACCTGACCTGTGTGGGAACGCTGAGGGCTACAGCAGACTCACACCACGGAAGCACACCTTTCCAAAATGATCTGGAAAAAAATCATCCAAGTCCCAAACCAGGATCTGAGAGATGATTTAGCCTTCTGTTGGATTTTCCCCTCTGTGGTTAAAGAACGCCATGAGATTCCCTAGGAGCAGTGGGAGGGGTCTTCTGGGAAGAGGGAAGCCAGGGAGTTATCAGGACCTGACCTTGGATGGATGGATGGATGGATGGATGATGGATGGATGAATGGATGACAGATGGATGGATGGATGGATGGATGGATGGATGGATGGATGACAGATGGATGAATGATGGATGATGGATGGATGGATGATAGATGAATGGATGGATGGATGACAGATAGATGGATGGATGGATGGATGGATGATAGATGATTGGATTGATGATGAATGGATGGAAGGATGATGAATGGATGGATGGATGACAGATGAATGGATGGATGACAGATGGATGGAAGGATGGATGATAGATTGGATGGATGGAAGAATGATGGATGATGGATGGATGGATGGATGGATGACAGATGGATGAATGATGGATGATGGATGATAGATGATTGGATGGATGGATGGATGGATGGATGGATGGATGATGAATGGATGGATGGATGGATGATGAATGGATGGATGACAGATGGATGAATGATGGATGATGGATGGATGATAGATGATTGGATGGATGGATGGATGATAGATGAATGGATGGATGGATGGATGGATGAATGGATGGATGGATAGATGGATGGATGATGAATGGATGGATGGATGATGAATGATGGATGGATGGATTATAGATGAATGGATGGATGGATGATGAATGGATGGATGGATGGATGATAGATGAATGGATGGATGATGGATGAATGGATGGATGATAGATGAATGGATGGATGATGGATGAATGGATGGATGATAGATGAATGGATGGATGGATGATGAATGGATGGATGACAGATGGATGAATGATGGATGATGGATGGATGATAGATGAATGGATGGATGGATGATGGATGGATGGATGATAGATGAATGGATGGATGGATGATGGATGATGGATGGATGATAGATGAATGGATGGATGGATGATGGATGGATGGATGATAGATGAATGGATGGATGGATGATGAATGGATGGATGATGAATGGATGGATGATGAATGGATGGATGACAGATGAATGGATGGATGGATGGATGGATGGATGATGGATGGATGGATGGATGGATGGATGGATGATAGATGGATGATGGATGGATGGGTGGATGGATGGATGAAACAGAAGGTGGTTAGGGGAATGTTCTCAGTAGGAGAACCTCTTCTGGACATCACACGACCTTTCTGTGGGAGCTTAGCAGGACCAGTCGCACCAGTGGCTCCACTGTCCTTCAGAGTGGACTCTAAGGTCTCCTCACAACAGCTCTGAGTCTGATGAGAAGAAACGTTCCAGTCAAACAGGGTTGAGCTGATGGCTTCAGGGACAAAACGCTGGCGTCTCCTTCTAGTCGTACTGACCAGAACCGCTTAGTTCTGTAGAAAAATCAATGTTTTTGTTTTGATCTCCGGGAGGAAAAAGAGACGCTCGGTTTCAGGTTCCTCTTAGTGGAGATGGGTTTGGGTGGG